CAGTGCTGACCAAAAACCCTAAGATAACCAATTTAAACATAAGAAATGGGCTGGGAATGTGGCTCGTGGTAGAGTGCACACACACACACACCCTACCTTTCCAGTGCTGACCAAAAACCCTAAGATAACCAATTTAAACATAAGAAATGGGCTGGGAATGTGGCTCGTGGTAGAGTGCTTGCCTACCATGCATGAAGTACTGGGTTCCATTCCTCAGTACCATATAAACAGAAAAGCCGGAAGTGGTACTGTGGCTCAAGTGGTAGTGAGCTAGCTTTGAGCACAGAGAGGCTCTAGGATAAAGCCCAGACGCTGAGTTCAAATAAATGAATAAAGGAAATGTTTGATTCGTGGCTTCATCCTGTGCTCAGGTAACCTAGTTACAGGTGGTGCCACAGTACATCATGATAAACATACACTGTAGACAAAAGCAGCTCTCCTTAGCACGGCCAGTAAGCAGAATGAGAAGAGCGGGAAGGTCCCCAATTTTTTTCCATGGACACATCCCATTGACCTAACTTCCTTCCTCTAGGCCAACCTCCAAAAAGTTGTATCACCTCTTATTAAGACTAAACCTTCAACATATGGACTTTGGAGGAAGAACATCTTGGATAAAATACTTGGTTGTATGCTTTAATATTAAGCTGAGTACTGGTGGCTCATGGCTATAACCCTAGCGACTCAGGAGGCTGAGATCTTAGGACTTAAGTTCAAAGACAGCCTGGGCAGAAAAGTCTGTGATCTCAATAGACTACTCAGGAAAAGCTGGAAATGGCTCTGTGGCTCAAGTGTAGAGCACTAGCCTTGAACAAAAGAAGCTCAACCCTGAGTTCAAGCCCAAGAACCAACACACACACACATACACACACACACACACACACATACAAATATAAAACATATATATGTCATATATATATATATATCTATATGAAACATACTGACTGTCTAGCTTAATTCTGAAATGAAAGATTGTCATTACAGTTTTTTATTTGGGGGGGTTTCTGGGGTTTGAACTCAGAGCATTGTACTTGCTAAGCAGTCTACTATACATCTCCAGGCCTTTTTTATTTTAATTTACTTTTCAACCAAGGTCTCACTTTCTGGGGGGGCGCCCGTTTAAGACTACAATCCTCCTCCTACTTTTTCCTTTGCCTTGAAATTTGATGATGTCCCATCTTCACCTTCTGACTAGCTACAGTCATTTTTTGAGTGTAGATTGTAAATACTATTATATTAAATTGTTTATTACATAAGAAACTTAAAATGTATGTTGTTTCATGAAATGTACTTTGGAGAAGTTTCCAAAGCTTCTAGTGCTACCTAATGAATAATCAAGCAAAATTAGATTGATTTAAAGAAAGTTTGGTAACATACATGCTTCTAAAATACTAATGGTCAAATTATTGCAAAAGTACTCTTAGATTTGTGGAAATAATATTGGAAGCTTATTTGTGGCTCTAAGAAATATTTATGTGTATTGTCATTTGTAGAAGAATTTTTATATTATGTATAGAAAATAAACACCCACAATGTTAAAGTGTTTATTTTGATATATATAACCAACAGCAAGATGATATTCAGATTATGTATTTAAAACTACTTTTCTATTATACTAGGGTTTGAACTCAGGGTTTAGTGCTTATTTGCCTTGCTTGCTTGGCTGCCTTGGCTGCTCAGCTGTCACTCTACCACTTGAACTATGCCTCCAGTCTGGCTATTTTGCTGAATGTTTTGGAGATGGATTCTCTCTAACTTTTTTTACCCAAACTGGTTTTAAACTGCTGTCCTCCATATCTCTACTTCCCGAGTTGGTAGGATTACATACATGAGCCACTAGCATCCAGCTAAATATTTCTTACCAATTTTTGTCCCAAAGTTCAGGAACAAGTTATTTAAAAGCAGAAATCAAGTTGTGTATACTCATAATTTCCAATCTATAGTAACACTTTAAGGCATAGTTTTAAAAGAGGCCCAATAATCGTATAGGTTAGTACATTTAAAAGTCTCAATTTTAAGCCAAGTTCTGGTAGTTTAGACTTGTAATCCTCTCAACTTGGGAGTCCTGGGCAAAATCCAAGGTTTAAGGCCAGCTTATGCAGAAAAATTTGCAAGATCCTTTTTTTGGGGCGGGGAGGGAGGTCTGGGCTTGGGCACTATCCCTGTGCTCTTCAGATCAAGGCGCGTGCTCTACCGCACAGCACCACAGCACCACTTCTGGTTTTCTAGTGATTAATTGGAGATAAGAGTCTCATGGACTTTTCTGCCCAGGCTACCTTTGAGCCATGATCCTCAGATCTCAGCCTCCTCAGTAGCGAGGATTACAGGTGTGAGCCACCGGTGCCCAGCCACAAGATCCTTTCTTTAACCCATAGCTGGGCACAATGGTTTTGTCACCTTAGCAGTGACAGAGTTGGGAAAACCTGGCTCAGCTGTACACTTTGGTAGGAAGTTGAGACCCAGACTCAGTTTGTAAAGGGATAGAGACAGCTTAGGTATTAGAGCACCAGCCTAGCAAGGAGGCGGAGGCTGCTTTGAGTTCAAATACCAGAACCACCATAGTGTTAAACTACTTGTTTGTAAGAGATTTCTTTTTTTTAATACATTTTTGTTGTAAAGATACTGTACAGAGGGGTTACAGTTACATGAGTAAGGTAATGCGTACATTTCCTATCGAGTATTGTTACCCCCCTCCCTTGTTTTTATCTTTTGTGTCTTTTATATGAATAAAATTTTACTTTGTTAGTGTCATTTAAATAGTCTCTAATGAATTTTAACTAAGAATTAAGTTGTGATCTAAATGTCTCCAAATAGAATTCTAGAAATAGCTCTTCAGTTATTTTAAGAGATGATGAGGAAATTATTGGAGAATTTTATATATTGTGAGTTCACTTTCCCCCTAGCAGCTGTTTTATAATGTGATTCTAATCCTAATATATTTCATATCATAGGTGTCTCCAAGTTTTTTCATAATGGATTCTGCTTAAGAAAAGATGCTGTTGCTGCCAGTATTCAGAAGATTGAGAAGATTCTGCAGTGGTTTGAAAACCAGAAGCAGCTTAACTTCTATGCTAGCTCATTATTGTTTGTATATGAAGGTTCATCTCAGCCACCTACTACAACAAAAACAAATGACAGAACTTTGGCAGAAAAGATATTATCCAAAGGACAACTGTCAGACACAGATGTACTGGAGTACAATAATAACTTTCATGTGTTAAATTCCACAGCAAATGGAAAAATAGAGTCTTCAGTAGGCAAAAGCTTATCCAAGATCTATGCTCGGCACAGAAAAATGTATTCAAAAAAACATCACAGTCAGACTTCATTGAAAGTTGAAAATAGGGAGCAGGACAATGGGTGGAAAAGCATGTCACAGGAACATTTAAACGGAAATGTACTTTCCCAGCTGGAGAAAGTTTTCTATCACCTTCCCACTGGTTGCCAAGAGATTGCAGAAGTAGAAGTGCGAATGATAGATTTTGCTCATGTGTTCCCTAGCAACACAATAGATGAGGGATATGTTTATGGTCTAAAACATTTAATTACTGTACTTCGAAGTATTTTAGACAATTGAATCTTTTGCCTTGGTCTTTTAAGGATGGGCCAATCATAATGAAGAGCAGCAGTTATTATCTCTGCACCTGTGATGCTATGTAAAAAATTGTATTGTGAGTCAACATTTTATTTGTCTTTATACTTTTGGTAGAAAGGTTAACTTTTTTATAATCTTACTCAGGAATACTAACTATAAGTTCATTAGAAAACTATGAAGAATAAAGAAACAGGAATATTAAATAGGGAATGTGGTGGTACATGGCTTAAACAACATCTGTTTGGCTCAAGCAAAATGGAAATCATTGTTCAGTCATTACAAGTTTATTTAGCTTTTTGTAGCCAATTTTATCATGAAATCTCTGTCCACCCAGCCTTGACAGTGAGCCATATCTAAACTATTTCATCATCAGAACACCTTCAAATATCTACAAAGCACAGGCTAACATCCTCAGTATTGGCTGTTTAATGCTACAAAGACTGGAAAAAATTCTACTTCAGAAATAGGATTTTATATTAAAAGTTCAGACCAGCATATCAAAAGGTGCTTCTTAGTGAGATGATTTAGAATTATTGCATTCCAAAAGCAAGTTTTCCTTTTATTTTCAGTTTCTGTACATATTCCAGAACACGGAAAATCTTACTGAAATGGACAGCAACAACAGCAACAACAAAAATCCTGAAAGTCAGGGCACTGGTTATTTTTATTAGGGTCAGGAGAAGAAAGAAATTACTTGCAAGCAACAATGTATTTTTCTCGTAAGCTCATTTATTTAGTGGCAAAATTGGAATCTATTACATTGTGAAAAGTACTATAAATTGTGTTACACTTTTTTCTTAAACTGAGATGTCAACTGTGGATGGTTGAGGCTTTTTATCATTTAAATACTTTTTAAATTTGTCCTTTCAAAATGCATGTATTTCAATGTTCCCTATTCAGTTAAGCAATAATATAAATGTATTTTGTTAAAAATAGTGTTTCTGGAAGTGGCGCTGTGGCTCAAGTGGTAGAGCACTTTCCTTGAACTGAAGAGCTTGGGAACAGCGTCCAGGCCCAGAGTTCAAGCCCCACTACCAACAAAATAAAAAGTGTTTCTTTGAATTCAATTAAGCAACAAAGGCAACATACAGTTAGGTAAATTGTCAGAAGTACCATGTAGCAATTAATGCATAATGTAGGCTTTGGTGCATACCTAAAATCTATGCTTCCGTTTCACTCTTCAGTAAACGTTTTATATTGTAGTCTGCACAAGAATTATAATTTATTGCTGGCTGGGCAAAGGGTGATGCTATTTTTCTTGGGAAAATTTGATTTATAAATATTACCTTTGTTTCACACCCACTACCCTTTTCAAATTATCTAATTGTCAATGAAAACATTAAAATTTGAAATTAAGATAGTTACACATTGTTACTTTTTTCTTTCTCCTTTAATTAAAGTTTTGAATCCAAGTGCCATTTTTTGTGATGTTGAAGAAATTTAAATTTGTCTTACCTTCCCAGCCCTTTCTGAAGGCAGTTTGCAAATACCTGAATACAAAGAAAACACCAAGTAAATGCTCTGTGAGTTCTATGTTTAGTAAAACTATTAAACTGGAATGACACTAAAAATTCATATGTATTTTATTAATATTTTATTTGGAATCACTATGAAGTGTTTTCCATAGAGGCTTTGTGTTTTTTTTACTGCCCAAGTAGGTATAAACTATAGATATTTTGTTTTTGCTTTATGGAAATAAATAGAAAATTTTAGTTTTCCTTTTTCTTACACTATGGACTTTTGTTGTTGATGTTGTCATTATTAGCTAGTGGTTCAGAAAGTCTGAACTTCATGCAATTAATACTGTGTGGAATCTTGACGCTGTTTTCATAGGGTAATATCATCCTATATACCACAAATTTAATAACATTTCATCAGATTCTTTGAAAATTTTAATTCAGTAAATCAGTTCCCAATTTTCATCATCTAGTCTCTGGAAATACAGTTGTGTAAAATCACTGTCTTACCTTTTTGATAGATCATGTTTTGTTATAATAAAAAAACTACTTTTATGTTTTGTTTTTCAGGGAAGGGATTAACCTTTAATTCTTTTTGTTTACATTTTTTATCACTGCTTTCCAATGCCCATTTTATGTTACTTTATAAGTAAACTTGTAATAGAGTAATTGTTTATGTAGTCTTCATGTGACTGTTTTACTGTGCAGTCCTGTTTGATGATTATGTTAAATTTACCACTGTGAGGATGAGTAATCATTATTCACCAAGGATATTTGAATATTGTTTAAGAAATAAGGATGTCGTTTGGATAATAGGATTATTAATCCTCTCTCCCTCCCCTCCCAAAACATGATTGTAGTGTATTTTTTTGTGGCGTGAACTCATAAAAAGGACTTTTAAGAAACTGTGGATGTGAATACATTTCTCAAATAAAAATTTAAATTGTAAAATAGTTTTATAATAAATATTTACATTAACTGATATTTTAATATGGATGGAAGTTGCATAGATTTAAGTAAATTAAAATTGGTGATAAATACTACATATTTTATTTAAATAGTTTTTCAAGAAACTTATGAGAGTGTATATTAAATGGCTCTGTTATGGAGCTTGTGGTAATTCCAATCAGTACTTATGATTCTCTGTTTTGTGTCTGGAAGGATTATTCTTACTATGCCTCTTAACGCTATAGTTTGCAACTGTGGACCTCTAGACTATCAAATGAGCAAAACCTTTTCTGAATTTTGATTAGTATAAGTTTAGTACTTTATGATTTCCAACATTCTCCACATCATGCATATAAACTACCAAATTGATAACATTAGGGAAAAGAGGAATTCATAATTATTTTAGTTGCAATTTTTTAACTGAAAACTTTTTCAAAGGTTTAGAACATTGTAGGATAAATGAAAACTGTAGACCAATGACAGAATTTTATTGTGAACTGACAGAAATTTTGTCTACTGTTTTAAGTCATTGCCATTGTTTTAGTACCATTTTCTTTTATTTGCTTTACAAATTGTTTACAGTGTTTTATGATTATCTACCTTCTCCAGTGCCTTTAACCTCAATTTTGTATTTGTAGCTTCAGTACCCTTTTAATAGGCCCAGAAAACATCCATTTCTTTTTAAGAATTGGTTATCTGACAAGGTTTGAAATGGTAAAAGTGCTTTGGGAAAAGAAGAGGGTTGCCTTGGAATCTAAATTTAGGATGTCTACCACAAGCTAAGCATCATTTCTCCACCCGAGTCCCAGTATATACAAGGCTGAGCAGACAAGGCTCTTCCAGCATTCCATCTAGAGATGGAGAGTGAGATTGAGGACTTAATTAAAATAGTGAGATAGAGAAATGTGCATTTCAAGATTAAAGGTAAAAAAATCCTAAGTACTGAGTAAGGATGATGCAGTTATTAGAAACTATCCCTTGCAGAATTGTAGCCTCCACTTGACTTGAGTTAAAGTAGTCAAATAGATAAAAAGCCTTAATTTTCCACTTTCTTGCCACTAATGGTATACTTACTTATATTATCCCTCCATAGTAGTGTATAAAACTTATGTGGAACACATTCCATTGTACATTCACAAGCAAATTGACTGCAAACTTAAAAATTGTGTTTTACAACTTAGTACAAATATTTTAGGCCTCAATCCTATCTTCAAAATCACTGATATTTTAAATTTGGCAATGGAAATGAAATTACTTTTTAACTAGAATGATTGCACTATAAAATGCTTGTTAAGATTTTAGGAAGGTTGGAGCACCATCTTTTGTTTTTGTTGTTACTATTTAAATATTTTTCTATTCTCCACTATGAACTAGTACTCATACAATAAATTAATAAGGTTTTGAATTTTGTCATCTTTGGGGTTAAATTTTGGCCTGGTGTTCACTTTCAAGATAAATTGTTTAATTTTGAGATGAAATGGTCTTAAGTATGATGTGTAACACACCAACAGATAAACATGGCGTGCACAAAGACACTTTACTATGGGGACTGTACTGGAAGTTTTTGAAAGCATGTGAAATCGCACCTAAAATTGTATACTAGTGACTTTAAGCAGCAGTGCTAAATTTCTTGTACTTGATGAATGAATGTATTTAATCAGTTACTTCTGTTAAAATGTCTGTCATTTTGTTTTTTAACTGTGTTTGTAATTTGTACTATTGATGGGGGGTATTGGATTGCGGGGGTTATTGTCGATGTGTGATTTGTGTTTTTATTTTGTAGACTCATCTAATGTGATATACCAATTTTATAAGTGATATTTAGATAATTCTAATAACTGTATATTTGACAACTTATTAAAATGTTTTGTATTGGACCTTTTTTCATTAATTACAGTATGCTAGCAGACTCAAAGTTGTTTAAAAGTAACCCACTTAATTCAACAACTGCTTGTATGTCAGAAACTATAGGAGTTGTTAGGAATTCAAAGATGAGATGTTTGTAGAAAGATGCAAACACATTGGAAATAGCCAAGTATATAAACTTTTGTATTTTTTTTCTATCATATGAACTAAAATCTTTGGCATTAACCTAGTAGTAGAGGTGACTGGAGGAAACAGATTGATCTGACTGAAAATATATGCTATAATTTTAAGACTTAAATAGGTACGATATTTTTGCATGTGTTTAAAATTGCATGAATTGGCTGCTTAATGACCAAATTATTAAGCAGAAACAAAGGCACTGTCAAACAGAAGTCTTTATCACACACAATTCCTAGGGTTTGGAGATTAAGAAAGTTGAGTAAGTTTTAGTACTTGTTTCTCAAGATATGTGCTGTCTGGGTGGGGAAAAATACATGTAAGTGGGGGATAAAACCCTGTTGGAACAAAGATTGATGTTGAACATTACAAACAGGATTGTGGAGAGGGTGTGAAATGGGGAAGTGAATGCTTGGGAGGTTGACCAGGCAATCTCTGCCTGTTTCTGGTATGCATAGACAGATTAATACTTTGTGAATCTTATTTTTTTCTTGTTAAGACTGGGTGCTTTTGAAAACAACCTCACTGTCATTGTCTCCACATTACAGTTAATATAAAAACTAAAGAGTTGAAGTGGGAAAAAAGGAACATTTTAAGAATGAAAATGATCACTTAGGACTGTTGTTTAAATGCATATTCTGATTAAACAGGCTTAGATGGCATCTGTGATGTTGCTGATGTATACACACACTTGAAGGAGCATGTGTTGCAGAAAGTTCCTTGATACACAAAGTGCAGTGGAATTTGGACCATGTTGAGCAGAGACCTAGCTAGAACTGCTTGACAGCCAAGAGAGCTGGCAGTTGAGAAGTTTGGAACAATGCAGCCAGTAGATAAGAAAATGGCTATTTTCAGTGGGAGGAAGAGTTCATTAGCTGTTAACACCTCAAACTGCCTACTGCAATAATTTTTGATTGTCATTTTCTGTTATTGGTGGCAGCACCCCTTTTTTTTGTTTATGTTCATGATTATACTTTGACAGCTGACCAACACTCTACATATATGCTAGTTGGCTGCAGCGTACACTTGCCATCTACATATTCTAGAGACGTTTTTGGGTATAATTGTACCACTGATAATGGTTCATATGGCCTGCAAAGTATTTGATAGGATTTAAATTGAGTCAGGTTTCTAAAGGCAGTTG